CTACGAGCTGCACAGCCACAAGTATGAGGGACGTGTTGAAGTCACTTTGAGGGTTAAGATTTCACGACTAGAGAATTATTCGGTTCCCTGAGGGATGCAGCAGCGGAGGCAAGACGTTTTTGTTCATTCTCAAGAGTATTAACAAACTTGACGGTATTTAAGAAGTGACTGAGCTGGTTAATACTGTAGGTTCATGTTGTGTGCTTGTTGTGAACCATCCTTCAATTGGTTCAACACTGACTTGTTCAGACGCACTCTACTTCCGAGTTCGTTGAGGCAAATACTGCGGTTTTGCGTTGTCATCAAATGGGATGCAGTCATCAATTGCTTTTTCTATGGTTCCCTCGGTGCAGACACATGTGTCTCTTTGAAGTCATGCAGAATCGGTGGAGGAACTCCATAACTGTTCGTGTTTTCCGTATTATTCCTACAAACAGAGACAACCCAAATTCAACAAAGAAAAAGACAGTTGCTCTTATCACATGCTCTCCATTGCACACACCGAACAGCCACCTATAACACGTGCCAGAGGCACCAGCTCTTCCTCATCTGGCTGCATTGCTGTAGACTTTGAATTTAGCGCAGTGGTGATTAGATGGTTTGTGGATGGTGTACTTGGACATGTACATGATTGACTGTGCTGGCTGGAGGAGTTAGAGACATGAGGGAAGTTTAGAGATGGGTGGACTTGTGTTGGCGAGGAATTTCGGGGTTGTGACATGGGGTTTAATTCTTGCGTTGTTGATAGTGAATGTAGTCACTGCGGTTCCACTTCCTCCGCCGGAAGTTGCAGACTGTTGCAACAGCGAGGAGCGGTGCTGCATGCCCTTAAGTGGGTCAACCTGCACACCAATTCTACCCGGACCCTGAGCTCCCCATCAGGATCAGGCGCCCCCTACAATTGCTCACCGATGTCGATGTGCCAGTAGGGTTTGATCTGTCGGGAAGGATTTTGTCCATTCTATGCCGCACCTCGAAGCGTCAAGCTCTTGGGTTGTGTTCTTTTAAGTAAACCTTCAATTTTTCGAAACTGGTTTGGCTACTGCGCATTCCTTCAGCTCTTGGTTGAATTACATTGCAAGTAAGATTTCTAGCCACAGCGATGCGACTACAGTACTCTTCACCAAAAATATCTCTCTCTTTCTCTCGCTCTCTCTTTTTGTTTGATACTAAGTCGAGTTCAAGAGGTTCCTAGAGCTTTGTCAGTGGAATTCCAACGATTTTTAGTGTCCCCATTCATTGTTAAAAAATTGTGCATATCAACTTGAGAGATCATCATTTAGATGCAAACTGATATACAATTTGTTTGTATTCCATTCAACTTTTGTTATAAAACCGTCCCAGCATTTGTCTTTGGCAGTGCGAGATTCATGACTTTGAGCAGCGCTGAATCATCGAGCTGTCATGGCAAACATCCATTTTACTTTGTTTATCTACCTGTCGAGAATCGGCTGCTGTGGCACTGGGACATTCGAGACCGCAATTCTCTGCAACGAGGCATTACTCGGCACCTGCACAGGTCCGTTCCCGTATGTCTGGTGGGCCAGTTTCCATCCCACCGATCATGTTTACAGTTTGATCGCAGTAGATTTGTTTAATCAGGCTGAGCCTGTATTCGATGGGTCACCCCCCCCCCCCCCCAGCCCTAAACACTGCGATAGTTAGTTAGTTACGTTGAAAGCGATCTCGGATCATGTGGTCCAAAAACAGTCAATCACACATCCGAAGCCCATCTCATACAATGAATGGTGTTGTCACCATCCCACGTCGACAAGAGTTCAGAGCTGCTTCACAAGACAATGCGTACATGGCAAGCTAGAACAACAGTTCGACACCATTATTGGGTGGGAAAAAGCAGAAGAGTTTTCTACACCATTCTAATTCGTTCTACAGCCTTGAGGGGCGATCCCAATTTTGATACTCTAGTTGCTGCAATCTATCCACCTAAAACACATGCCGCATACATTTTCGTGAGGTGCCCGATATGTGAGGAAAAGATGTGAGGCCCAAATCAGTGCGGCTCGCGCTTTGGGCGCCGGTTTAAACTAAAAAAAACAGGAAGTAAATAGATTATCACACTTTGAAGGGCAAATTTGTAATTATCACAAAAGGGAGGAGTAGATTTGATATTATCAATAATACATGGAATAGGTATTCTTCATATTTCCGCAAATTTCAGGGGTATGTATGATATCTTCCCTTGATTCAATCTTGAAGGACAATAAACATGTACAACAAAAGATGCCACTTATGTTGCAAAACGATATTTTCACTTACACAAAAAATGACAGCATTTTTTTAAAATTTTAGGAAGATGACACCAGAAAATAGTTTTAAAATAAAACATCTTGCCATTTATATCTATAGTATAATCATTAACAACCAATAATATTAATTTAAATTATTTTAATAAAAACTTAAACAAAGTAAGCTTTTTAATTGCAATAAAAAAATTTAATCAAATTTAAGATATATATATATATATATATATATATATATAACATTGAAGTTAACCCTTTATCAAGAATCATGACATAATATTTTACTACTTATTTTTTTATTTTTTTATTATTTATTTATATGATGAAAACATTATGGTGCAAATACTTTGAGTAAAAACTTGTATCTAAATCATCTAAATCATCTATAATATTTACTGAAACAATTTTCTGTGTAAAATAAATCTTATAAATTTAATTTGAAATATTTTTTTAAAAAATATATTTTTATCAAATTTCAAATTCCAATAAAATCAAAAGAATGTCAACTTGTTTCAAATGAACCTCAGAAGCATTATTATTTTATTGTTTTTCTAAGCATAAAAACTATTTTTCAACATTCAAATAGAAAAATAAAATCCTTGGTTTTTATGTTATTTTTCTGTTAAATAAATATAAATATAGAACAATGTTTATACATAAAAACAAAAAATCATAAAACCAAAAAATTGCCTTAGATTATAATTCAATTTGGTTTTATATATTATCCCATTATTTCAAAGATATCAATTTCTATTATTGGTGTTGTGTATTTTAATAGTCAAATATGGCCTTGCCCAAAATATATAACACTAAAAGTGAATCTCAGTCATTTATAAAGCCAAAGGTGCATAAAAATAGAGAAGTTTGTCTCACAACTTTAAAACAATGAGATACATAATTAATGATATCTTATCTTTTTTTGAAAAGGTAATTTCGTTTTCCTATACTAAATTTGAAATTAAAATTTAATATTAATATTATTTTTAATTCATTAAAATTACATTTTAAAATGAACTGATTAATGTATTTTAAACTTTTGTATTAAGTTTTTTAGTAATCACTAGAATATTACATCAGTATACAAAAAATGTTTTTTAAATGTGAAAAAATAAATAAATTATAAAAATTTAATATAAGTATAAATCAACCTTACAAGCTATTTCATCTTTTATAATTTATTTATAAGGATATATTTTAATCTAAAAGATAAAAATATCGATATTATTTTTTTAATATAAAGAGATTTTGAAACATAAATTGAGGTTTTGTTGTCAATGCCTTACTTAAATAAATAAAAAGTAGAATAAATTTGCCATTAAATTATTACAATACATTAAATTTTATGTATACCACGTAATTTTAGAATGAAAAATGAATCTTTTTCTGCTTATTTAGAAAATTATAGCCAAATTCTTTATGCCAAATGTGAACTTCTAATTTGATAAACTCTTTTATTTAAAAATTCACATCTTAGAAGATATATCAGTGTTTAAAAGAAAATTATAAAAGTCAAATGAATTTTGATACAATCTATTATCAACTCTAATTAATAATACATAATTGATATTTGATGATCTTGTGTGGTCATGATTGCTACAAAGTCAACATTTGAGGTTATATCTTTACTTTTTTCACAAGATAGCATTCCAAGTAGGAATCCTACAACAAACAAATTTTCTTACCAAACATCTTTGCAATCTACACAACAAAACAAGTCCAAGTAACTTTCAAATCTTGCATAGTTTTTAAAAATTTGAGAAATTTTTTTTTAGAATCAAAGTTATGGATGTAAATAACTTTTTAAAAAGTAGAATAAAACTCATGCTACTTCATACAATCAACTACAAGATATTCAACTTAATTCTCATCTATGCTTCTAAACTAATAATTTATCAATTATAAATTATATGTATTGACTTTAAATTTTGCAATGATTTAAAAATAACATAACATGTTTTTTTTGTATCTTTTTAATTCAAAATAATAGAAACAAATTTGTAAAAAGAAGGAAAAAGATCTAATTTGATTTTATGGCACACATACATTCAATGCTTTTGGGACAATCTTATTACCCACTTGTTTATAGATACTACAAACTCATCACAATAACATAACCTTTTACAATTCAATATGGGTTACTTGCAAACATGATACATATAATTTGGTTTTTACTTCTAAAATGTATAAAAAATCGTTTTGAACCATACTACAAAAACAGATCAAGAAGACTTGTGACAAAGACCTCAACATCTGAATGAAACTTGATAAACTTTGAACTAGAAATGCTTTTTTCTACAACAAAGATGGACCAAGAGTATGATGAAATTCTAATGGATTCCTTCTGACCTAATTCTCTAAGATGCAGAACATTCATAGTCGCTTAGTATTGAGACCCAGAAAGTTGATGATGGTAAATAAAATTCCCCTTCAATAGCTCAGGGGTTGCATATTTTGATACAAAAAGAGAGATTAAAAGTTGAAAATTTTAAAAATTGTATACATCGATGCAGATAACGTTGTTTATTCCAGACAAGAATGTACATTTATGATTCTTTGTTAAAGAACACAGTGCCAGTACATAATTTAAGGTCAGGAAATGTGACGTTACAGTGTGCACTTGATTCTACTTTTAACATTGGAATACACTCGTGTGTGTGTGTGTGTTTGTGTAAGTATATGCAGACTCCGCATATTCATCAAACTGTTTCATGACAGTTGAAAACCGCCGCCAACACGAGCTGCGAGCAAAACTCCATCAGGATAAAAAGTCATCGTTGTGATAATAAGTTACAATAAATAAAGCTTTTAAGCCACATGTTCAGACTTTGCTTCAGTATCACCTATTGAACCATTACCTGGTCCACGAATACAGCACTGTGCCCTGAATTCTACGTTGATATGCTAACTACAATTAGGATTCGGGATATACATAAATGTCACTCCCAAAGTCTACGCCGTTAACTCGTAAACTTAAGAGGATTGGGACATGAAAGGTATTAACAGGTTTAAGGTTCCAATGAGGATTGATGACACTCTCAAAACAAACTCTGCAGAGACATAAACCGTGTGATTTAACATGACAAATTGAAAGAATGATCCTACCTATTCATCAGGCATGCACCATTACTTGCTGCACGCTGCTCTCCGCAATCAAATGAGTGCGAACCATGATACAAAGGCATCCAGTAGCACAAGCATGGCCTATGCTCCAGTGTGTGTGGCATACCTTTCTGTGAGAACCTAACTCATGTTCATCATGTAGCTACAATTCTGGCACTGCCTTGCAGCACATGGAACAAAAAGAATCGTGTGCCGTTTCATGGCACTAGAGCCTCGATGCTTCTCAAACAGGACCCAAAAAAAAATCCTCCCCGAAGACAACTATCAGGAGTAGGAGAAACCTCTGCAGTGATGCAATACTCTAAGATTGGCGATCAAGGACAGTGAGGCAGTGGGCTTGCGAGATCATCGTTGTCACCTCAAGAGAATGCAGTCGTTCAGCCTCGTCAAGAAGCAACACGATGATGATGTGTTTAACATTTCCTATGATTGTGCGTGACAAGGGTATGATGTTCGTTGGTCCGTGAGCCAAGACTGGCTTGGCGTAGCAACTTTTGAAACTCAGATAGACTGATCTTGCCATCACCGTCAATATCAGCTTCAACCAGTATGCTATCCATCGATCCATTCAGTCCTGTGGCCTGTCGGAACATGCAGACGATTATTAATGTATGTCCTGGAGCTAGAAAATTTGCGATAGATTTCAGATGCAGGAATGGCCTAAGCAGACAAACGGAACGAAGACTAGGTGGATAGATTCCTACAGGGAGTTCAAGAATCTGTCCAACTATTTTATCATAGTGGTAAACGCTTGCACTTACAATCTTCAGCTCATCCGCGGTGATGTAGCCGTCGCCGTCGAAGTCGAATTGACTAAAAGCAGCTTGTGAGCGGCTCTGCCATTTCTCAGAGTCGGTCTCCTCCAATTGGTGCACGTGCAAAGTGGCAGCAACAAATTCGTCGAAGTCCACCAAGCCGTCACTATTACTGTCCATCTGCACGAAAACACAGAAGTGTATGAGCCTCATGGTGGAACCCAACTACACACAACTGCAATCCGACTGAAACGTGCCATTACTCCGCCTTCCAGAGGCGAAACACAGAGAGCACTTACCGCTTGCAGGATCTCCACAATACGCGACTCCTGTATTGACCAGGGTCGATCTTTTTGTAAAGCCTGATCACATTAACACAACATGAAAATCAAATGACAGGTACAAATAACTACACACCAGCAAGAAACGAAACAAATCAGAGTAGCCTCAAATACAAAGGGGGTCACGTCAAGTGGCACCAACACTAACCTCTCTCATCTCCTCAAGCGTTATTTTGCCATTCCTATCGATGTCAATAGCATTGAATTGATCTTGCAAATCCGCAATATCCGAGCTATCAAGAGTACTCGCCAGAGCCTGCAGTCAAATCAAGGGGCATGATGTGACCAAAGAACACAGACTGATCGCCTAAGACAAATTACCGACTAGGATTCATTGTAGAAAATATTTGGGAGTTCATACCCTAAGAGCGAGTTGCTTCAGACGGCTGTATTTTACAAACTCCCGCATGTTGGATAACACCGAGATGTCCAACGGAATGTCCAAGGCATCCCCTCCTTCTTTTGCCCAGGGATGAGCTGCATACATGGAAGATAACAAAATCAGCGAACATGTCCCAAATACAATCTACTCCATTCTTACGACTGTCTGATCTTCGTAAGAACTCATCCCTATCAAATACTTTTAATATCGCGTAACCGTGAGATTCTGTTGTGGAAGAAAAAAGAGGTCAAGCATAAATATCGTCCACTTACACAATGCTTGAGCTGCCGTCAGTCTTGCGGCGGGATCCTTCACTAGCAGCTTTTTAACGAAGTCTTTGGCACTAGAACTGATAGTTGGCCACGGCTTCTCCCCATAGTCTGGGTTCTTCTTCAAAACCTGATGAAGGAAAAAATGCACGTTAAGAATGCAATGGCCATTTCATGAACACTCCAAACCCTGCTGTCTCCTCGAAAGCAGCAAATTTCCTAAGTGACAATCAGAAGACGAACCTCATCAAAGATTCCCTTCTCAGTTTTGTCCCAGAAAGGTCGCCGTCCACAGAGCAAAATGTATGTTATTACACCAATACTCCACACATCAGATTCAGGACCTGATTTTTTCTTCAAAACTTCTGGAGCCACGTAGTACGCGCTTCCGACTACGTCATGGAATCGATTTCCTGCAAGAAGAGGCATGCCACAGGTGAGGGCAAGCAGTGAACTCAAGCAACCAATTCTAATCATCATTAAACCCAAACCCAGAAAGAGAAAGAGAGTTCAAAATGTCCAGAAGCAGGAAAAGCAGAGCGTTACCTGGCCTGATGTAATCGGAGAGTCCGAAATCTGTAGCTTTCAGAGGCGAGTCTTCACTGGTTGACTTGAATAAGAAGTTCTGAAGAGAATATGGTAACTCTAATCAGCTCTCCTATCCACGAAATCACAAATTCAAAGCACAAGAGAAAGAAACGCTCTTATGATCCTTGAACCCTAATTTCCTACACAAGATACGATCATTGAAAAGACTACATTGCGATTGTGCTCTTGGCGATACGCGTCGAGCCCAAGTCAGGCAGAAAACTTGCTATATAAGCTTAGCGAACTAGGGATAGAAAGAAAGACACCTCAGGCTTCATGTCACGGTGAACCACTCCGTTGAGATGACATCGAGCGGCAACATTTAACATCTGCCTGACAATCTTCGCGGCGTCCTTCTCACTGTATCGACTATCCTTCCTGTAATACAGCAGCCACCCATTAAATCATGTGTCCTGCACATTGGACAATTCATGAACGAACAATACTAGGAGTTCCAAATCACTGGTATGTTATATGTAGCCAAAGTTCTACTAATTGAAACAAACTAGCATGTGTGGAACTTCAGAAAGTAAAGTCCAACGGGGTGGAAAAGATTGGCATTATTCTCAAAATAGCAGGCTTACTTGGCAAGGATTCGATCAAGAAGCTCGCCTCCTTCACACAATCTGAACCGCAAAGATTCAAGTACGAATTAGAAAAACAAGCCCGTCGTAGCAAATCTGCTCCAAATGCTTACCACCTCAGGAAAGAGGTAAGAGCAAAACCTAGTACTCTACGAGTGTGGACCTATTGTGATATGTGATAAGGATCATCAATTCCTTCCAGAAGCTAAACATGAGAACGGAGAAGGGTGTGAATGGGAAGGAGGGAGTGTGCTGACCGAAACAAGATAAACGTGTAAACAAAAAAAAAAAAAAAAAAAAAAAAAAAGAAAAAAAAAAAAAAAGGGGGAAGTTGACGAAGACGTACTCCATGACGATGTAAACAAGGTCGTCATCCTCAAACGATGCGTAGAATTGGACGACATTCTCATGACCTGAGAGAGTGCGAAGGATCTTGACCTCTCGTTTAACGTCCTCGACCGATATGGGAAGAGTCATCTGCCAATGCGAGTGTAAGATTCATCGAACATGAGCAAGAACCTCTCATGCCCTACCAATAAACTCCACTTCTCCTTCTAAGGATCGAAGTCAGGTTGCAAACATTGAAAGGTGCGGCGAGTCATAGACGAGGGTGTAAGGGTGTGATTACCTGCTTCTTCTCTATCGTCTTCACAGCCACCCTGCTGCCTGTAGATTTTTCAATGGCGACATAAGTGTACCCAAATTGGCCATGGCCGAGCAGCTTGCCGAGAGTGTACTTGCTCTTGAAATCTCTTCCATAGCCGAAGTTTGTCCTCTTCCCCAGCGGTGCCATCTCTTTGTTGTCTTTCCCATTGATGGCAGCTCTGACGCGGGGCTTCTTTTTACGGTCAGCAGTGGACTCTGGAGGAGATTTCCAGGGTTCTGGTTGCTTAGATTCTGCGAGTTTCTCAACTTTTTTGGAGCGATTCCGACTATGCACTACCCCCGGCGGCGGCTTCCGACTTCGAGGTTTTGTATGAGTGGCCCCATTCTGAGGTTTTTGCTGGTGCGTCTGCGCGCTCGGCTCATTCTTCGTAATCCATTGCTCCGGGGCTTTGTACTTTCTTGTCACCTCCTCTGCTACCGAGCTCTTCTTACAGCAATTACCCATCTTAAGCTCCCAAAATCATGCCGATCCGAAACGCCTCGGGGTTACGTCCCGCGTGCAATTCGTCCCAGACACTCCTTTGAATCTACCGGGAATTCGAGATGTTGCTGCTACCCCGTGTAGCTATTGCTAGAGAATTCGCGTCCACCCTAGTACTCCCTGCTCCCAAACTACACGAATTCACATTCTAAAGGTCCTCAATTGTACATCTAGATAAACCTGGCATTCCACTGCGTACAATCTCCATCGCTACTCATACACGACAATTCAAGATATTCCCAACGCCCTATATGGGCTTGTTTCACAAAATTAAACAATTCAGGACGTTCGTGGAGCTTCGCCACTGCGACCATACACAGCTGTGCAGCGGAAAGCGCACGAGAAGAACCTGTCCAATTCTTCCACAGATAGTAAGTGATTGCTAAACCCAACTCGAGTAACTCAGGTACCAATAACCACCCCAAACGAGCACTCAGCCCATTCCGACATGAGTCCCTTCGCCTCCAAGGCACACCAAAAGCCGGTCTCCTTCGACGGCGATTGAGAGAACAGTCACCAGATTTGAAAAAAACGATGACGGCAGCAACCACAACGGCTGCGCCACACTGATCCCTGCGCCGGTATGATCGGAACCGCTCCCGAATTCTCTCACAACATTGACAATATCCTTAATTAACATCTCCAGCGCCCAAACCGGGCCTAATGCGGCAATTTGTAGAATTCGCAAGCATCCGTCTCACAGTGGAGGGAAACATCCGTCAAAGTCCCTGGCCGACTGGGGCAGCTTCTGTCAACCTTCTCTGAGCGCTTCCAGCTTGAAGACACGACTTGCAACTCCGACTGACACGATAACGATTCGAGCATCTCTGCAGTCAACGTGAGCAACTTCAGTTCGAAGAATCGGATGCTTCCACCACAACTACCCAGGTTCAGGATCCCATCCTTGTCGCCACACCACATTCACAAATTCACTTTCAGGGTAAAAGTTGGACGTTTCAGTGGAGAATCCCGCAAACGATCTTACTTACTCTGTTGCTGACGACTATAGAATTGTTGTTGCGCGCCTTGATGGTGACGCCATCTACCGAGTCTCGTTCGACGCGTTCAGGTTGAGAGACTCTAATGCATGCGCTTTTGCTTCGTCGCCCTACGATTCCCCAATTTCTCTCCCTCTCTCTCCTTATTTCTAATTCCTCGTCGCAAGGCCCAGGATCTTGCTGCGAAGCGTTCGTCGAACGCTCTAATTTCCACTTGCGGCGCAGAAAAACGTGCCCAAATTCGTCGATCCAACCTCCATCTCGTTCGTCGCGAGCGAGCGAGGACAGGGTCCACGACGCGCGATCCGGTCATCGCAGAATCCGCGACCGGATCCACCGGCACGTCACCATGTGGTCGGTGCCACGGCGGCCGCCACCTCAGCTGGCTTCGATCTGACGTGGATCACTTGCTTTTGTGCTCCGAGTGGTGCTTGTTAAGAGGTAATTAAGTTGGCTTTCGAATAATCAGCCTAATTGTGTTGAGGATATAATATGTGGTGCAGAGAATCTCTTTTCTACATTGTGTGAATATTTTTATTTCCTAAAATGTGTGGTAAGTCTATTTTAAAACATGATATCTATATATATATATATATATATATATATGTGTGTGTGTGTGTGTGTGTGATTGTAAAGTTCGATTGTAAAGTTTTATGAAAATTTATTCAAAATAGTCATTACAATTAAGAAATTGACTATATTCATGAAATTTGTTCGGTAAGGAGAGAACATTACTTGAGGTTTGTAAAGTGCTAACAAAAATGTTTCTGAAGTACTAAAAACTGGTACTAAAAAAGTGGTGTTAAAGATCTACTAAAATATATTTGTAATAAAAATAATGTATGGCTAAAAACTTTTATATTTTCTAAAAAAATCATTTTATTGGTATATATGTACAAGTAAACTAGACTTATCTATTTGGTAGACCTATTGATAGGTAGTATCTATCTGCATAAATGAAGTTGGATTATAAATAAGATATAATTGATTAGAATTTTCGTTTTCTCTAGTAGTATATTAAGACTTTGTAGTTTAGCATTTGGCAATAGACCAAAATATAAGCATAGTACCTTGTTGTTTTCTTTTTGTAAATTAATGTAATTATTAATTCCAGCATTATAATTATTATAAATTTTGTACATATTTACACAATTGGCTTTAAAAACTATGTGATGTAATATGAATGAGTAATATTAGGTTAACAAGTAACTAATAATATAAATAAATTAGAGGTATCAACTCTATAAAATTATGAGAATAATCAATGAAGTTTCTATTTGTAATATAAAAATATAATTTGGAATAAATAAAAGCAAGCCAATAGTAAAACAAATTGTATCATTGAGGTATTATGATATAAGATCTATTGAAAATAATTTTTATAAATAATGTAATTATTATATAATGATATTGAAAAAATCAATAAAATTTTATAAATTTTTCTAATTTCTAATTAATTGAACATAAAATGGATTTAAAAAAATAAAAAATAGGAATTAAATGCATATATATTTTTTAAAATAAATACTTGTAAGAAGTTTAAATGATTCTAGAAATTAGTAGCTTTTGAGAATTAATACTATTTTTAATCTGATTGATTTTAAATAAAAGTATGGATTAAAATATTAAAATAAGTAACTTTATATAGAAGTAAGGATAATTATAAGAAAGAAAATGTGGCTATAGGAAGTAGATGGGCCAATATAATTAGGTAGTGAGTGTTTTATTGTTAAATCATTAATACAAGTATATAAATAAAATACTAAAAAAATACTTAAATATAATTAAATATAAAACTTTATTGAAGATATTAATTAGAATTATGATAATTTTAAAAATTAAACAATAGATTATTAGATCATATAATAATTATGATTAAGTAAGAAGAAAAATTAATAAGAGAAAATTTTAAATAAATTAAATGAATCAAATCACATAAACAATATTAAAAATTACCAAGATTAAAGAATAGTCTATAAAAGATTACATCTTTTGAAAGTGAAATGTAATTATTTGAAATTAAAAGTAAAATATTTAAAAAAGATCATCAAAAAATTGACCTCATTTGATAAAAGAGTTTGGATACATAGTAAATAAGAAGAAAGCTAAATTTGGATTAAGGATGTATAATAAAGTCTATAGCCAATAGAATAAGCCTTGAGAAGAAAAAAAATTCAGTTGTGTTTTTCAATTTTTTTTTTATTCATTTTTCTAAAGCTACAAGTTGATTTATAATAAATTTAACAATAAAATATATCTTTTAATATATATATATATATATATATATATATATATATAAATAATTCAATAAATTGTTACTAATAACTTTAGATTGTGTAGACAAATAGAGCTTAATATGGGTATTGATACAAAGTATCTAAAATATAATATAAGATCTTTTTGTGGTAAAAAAAATCATTATAAATTTATAATTAATATAATAAAATTAAAAATATTTATTCATTTATTTTTCATTTGAATTCTTTATAAACTATATGTTTAAAAAAATAAACAATTGAGAAAAATATATTATTTTTTTCTTTATGTTTTAAAATAAATATCACTATTTTATTATATTAAAAATGATAATCATTATAATTTTTATATTTAAAATAAGGTTAATTTTTTTATATTTTAGATAATACAAAGGAAGCACTCCTTTGTAATTTAGTTGTTTTAAGTGTTATTTTTATCTTAACTTGAAAAATGGTAATGTAAATTTAAATGATTTCTTTTGAACTACACTATATATATATATATATATATATATATATACATAAATACATGGAAATGATAAAGTGACCCAAATTTTTACTAAAGCGATCCACTCTATCTTAACTATCATTGCATCCTAGCATGTTTCCAACCATTCTCCATTCCTAACCATTACTAAGAATGGGATAAGAGGTTGGGAACATTGGGAACGGGGGTGACAATTGAAAACAGGGTAATGGCTAGGAACAGGAATGGAGTTGAAAAGGTACAATGATGGTTTAAACATGTGGGTCAATTTAGCAAAAAATTGGATCACTTTATCATTTTCCTACATGCATATGTATATATATATATATATATATATATCTGATTTTAAATATGATTTTTAAAGCACACCCAAAATATTTTAATATTTTTTTAAAAAAACTTTGACACAATTGTAAGATGCTATCATAAAAATTATTGTATAATTTCTTCAACTTATATATTAGTTACAAAGTAAAAAGAAGCACAATAATAAAAAAATTATGTAAATTACTGTAAAAAAATAGTATTATTAATATCATAAAGAAATAAATTTTAAAAAAAAACATATAATAGACCTATTATTTTTTAATACCAAAATAATGTTTAAAAAAACAACCGCTAAAATAAAATCATATCTACAAATACTTGTATTATATTTTTTATCACCTATATCAAAAGTTTATTTATATTTTATTTAATTTTAAAAATAACATATAAAATCACTATATTTAAAAAAATTAATAACCTTATACTACCAAAAGATGACATATTAATACAAAAATCCTAACATTGCTTGAAGAATGTTTGCATGGAAATCAAATCTAAATGATGTTTCAATAAATTAAGAAAAGAGAATATTAAATTAATCCATTCATTTGTCATCATTTATAACATTAGGATTAAAATGTCATTGAATCACATTCAGATTTTAATAATAAGAGAAATAAAACAAAGATACAAGGTCAAGGTCTTTGTTAAAATACTTGTGTTTCATAATTTAACTATGCAAGATGAGTTTGAAAGCATACTGGTATATGCTAAACCAACAACATTGATCCTCAAATAGAACCAGTCAGCAAGTAGTGGTGCATCACAGTTGGGCACATCAAACATCGAGGAAACAGCACAAAAAAGAGGTGCCAAACCCAATGCCGAGTGCCGTTAACAGAGATTCAACCTGATTATTGAATGGAGGACAAACAGTATAAACGTTATCCTGCACATTTTCTTCAGAGTCCCCGAATGTAAGAATCGCAGAAACTTGACACAGAATTCTTCACCGTTGCAGAGGGGAAGTATCAAAGGATTTACTCCATTTTTGAATTCACTTCCTTGCCTCGAACTATCAGTTGCTGTAGTGCACAACTTGACCATGACTAAGTTACTACGTTGAGGATGCAAGGATCCATTCCTGGCGAGGAACACGACGAGCTGGTTAAGTTACTAGATCTTGCAATGGAAAAGTTGGGGTGTGGCTTCGTGGAAAGCCACTCCGCGTACTCGTGCACAAGAACCTTCCAGTGGACTCAGACGGCCCCACTTCAACAAAATTTGTCAGAAAGAGGGGACGAGATATTGTAGCTGGGGATGCCAGTGGGTTTCATCACTAGAAAGATGGCACCGGTAATCTGGGGACCACTACACTATTTGCACCGACTTCGTTACATCTTTGACAATTACTCAAGCAGCTGGTGTTTCAATGAGCGCATCTACGACCATAGGCAACATTCAGTGCCAGAAGTTGCTGTCTTGCGAGAAAGGCTCGCAAAGGGTACTCGTGCTGAATGGATCCTGCATAGTGGAAACTAGAAATTGCTATGCGCAACGAAAAGCAAGGAGGGAACGGAGGGAGGTCGCTCCGTAAAATTACGGAAGCAGCCTAGAGCACTGATACCCCGTCAGAGGCCTTCACAGGCCCTCTGAAGGTGCGATATTTCTCGATTATTTTAAACGGAAGGTGATAGAATATCGCGGAACAAACACTGGATGACGCGTGCGATTCAAGGAGGTTAAGCAACGGCAACTTCAAGCAAAATTGTGAAGTATCACAAAACCTTAAA